ATGATGTTACCCACATTCGTTACTATTTGCGCAGGCTCTTATGGTGTGGGGATAAACGTATATAGCACAAAAGCATGGAGACTTGCTGTAGTAAGTAATTGAGAGATGACGACAAGGCTTCCTCAATTCCTAGGAGTACCTGTGGGGCTCAGTCCATGCATTGCAAGGAGGGCTGTGAACTATACTCAGTGTGCGGTTTGTCCTGCAGGTTGTAACATAAATAGGGCTCTTTTGCTCCGTAGGATCCGATTGATCCCATGCGCTCAGCAGCAATCCGACCCCTCCAAGATGACATCTGAGCGTTTCATCTCTCGAGCACTGTTAGTTTATACCTGGAGGATACCTGACCGCCGCTAACACTTGGTAGACCGATAAAAGACCTACTGCTGCCCCCAGAAGCTGCCGGACAGCAAGGATTGACCGCTGTGCGACCAGAACCTGCAGACGCATCCACCACAATCCGGAACGCGGATCCTGAAGAGGAGAAGCCAGCTCCTTCCGCGAATGCGAAGAAAATTCCCTTCGAATGGGACAACTCCGGTTCAAAGGCCGCAGCAAGTAGGCGGAAGGATCAGGCTCGGGCATCACAAAGGCGTCGTAATCGAATCAAGCAGAACAAGAGCTTAATGGCAGATGTCGATGCGTACTCGAGCGAGGTTGGCAAGCTGTCGGACTTGGTGTTGCAGCAAAGAGCTCAATTGCTTATCCTGAATGAATTCAAGGAACTGGTGTTGGCTAAGCAGACGGAGCGTGCCCTGGCAGTTCTGGGTGGTCGTCCACAGGTACTTTCCACTTACGTTCCCCAGCTTCGAGTTCTGCTAACCACCTCCATAGCCACTACTGTTGGTTTCTAATACATACAGGTCCATAAAACACTTTGTCAGATACTGTGGCAACTACGTTGTTTCAGTACCGTGGAATGACCCGTGCATGGACTTCGAAGTATATTACAAGGACGGAACAGCAGGGCAGGTGCGATGGCGAGTAACGATGCCATTAAAATTGCAGGCCACGAGGTATCTCGACGTCCAGGAGGATTCGCAAAAAGCCGAGCTTGCTAAGGGGCTGTTGCCTACGGCAGAATGGACGTTTTTCGAAAGTCTGAACATCACCAAGACGAATTCTATGCTCTTGGAGTTTGAATAGGATGAACTCGCATTTGGCCATTCAGAAGGATGCAGGTGTTTCCTAGAGTTGCACTTTTTCTACAGGGTTGGGAAAATAGAATAGCACTCTGATGCTCAGTTAATGAAGCACGGCATCTTTATCCTCACCGGTAGGGTCCTATCCTGCAGACTGATTAAAGGCCCCCACATGAATCATAGACTTTCACAAATAATCGTCGCGATGAGTAGAAGCAAATACCATAAGCCTAGTCCTCGAATTGTTGCCGAAGATGCCACATTTCCAGACGCTTCAGCAGGTCTCGTAGGACCAAGTTGTGTAGGAGCAGGCAAGTCAGATACTGTACCAGCCTCCACCGTACTAGCAGTTGGCAGTGTGAATGTCGGGATTATCAAAGTCAATGGCACGAAGGCATTGTTCCAGGCTATCGTTCCGGTTGTGTTCGTGCTTTGAGCGGTCGCCATTTTGTTTCCGCCCCAAACGTCAGTGGTACGGTCGCTCAGAGTGTTATCGACTGCAAAGCATTCGATCCTATAATTTGTCAACTTTGGAACATAGCAATGCGATTGGCTTACAGCAAGCTACTTACTGAGTTTGTGCATATGATGCTGGCTGAGAAGTTCCAATGGCCGTCTAGACTTGATTCAGCAGGGCAGTTGCACCAGCTTCAATAGATCCAGCAACACAATGGTACGGCTTCGCTACCTAGACATTACCTAAACTGTAAGAGACATTGTGAGGGAATGAAATCTGCGTGGAATTTCTTACCTTAACCTCTGGCGAAACCTGGCTACTGTCCTGTGTTTCACGTGATCGGTGTATATTATTGAGGAACCAAAGGTATTCCAAGAGAATAAAAGTGAGGGACTCGAGAAGAAAAATGGTCTCAAATTTATGTTGTCGTTTCTGCTAAAATTGCCTTCACCTCTAAATCAAATCAGGAGAAACCGCTTGAGCCACCGTTTTCTCTTGCGCATGGACGTCAACAGTAGGCTATATCGCTTCGCTAAACAGAATGTCTCAAAATGAACTTTGTCTGCAAACCTCCTCAGGTGCATTCAAGTTGTTGAGCTTGTTATACCCACTGTGTGCTATGCTGTGTGCTATGTATTTGGAAGCTAGTCACCTCACCACTCTCACCACTCTCACCACTCTCACCACTCTCACCACTCTCACCACTCTCACCACTCACCACTCTCACCTTCTCATGTTGCCATGCTCTCGTATGGGCTCTTAACTCCCTGGTGGATTTTATCGTCCCATTTGTTTGCTTCTGTTGTGCATCAAAGCGCGATAGCTTGGGAAATCGAGTTAGCCACTACTAGAGTACAATCAGGTAAATCTTTCCGTATAGGAATAGCAGATTGATATCAAATGTAAGAAGGTATTACCTCCCATTGGCCAAGGTTCTCATTTTCGTCATCGTAGTTTTCATAACTAGCGGCTACGTAAGCTTCGTCATGGAGTAGGGGTATTGATATACAGAAAGATAAGATCAAACGCCTAGGGACTTTCAGGAGACATGAGTCACGCACGACCATTTCTCCCTCGCCGCATTGTTTTGATTCTGGACCTGCCAAGAGAAATTAAAAGGAAAAACAAAGAGGGTCAATTTGGAACAAAAGAAGGCTATCTATCGGTCTAACATCTATCAATCTATTTATCAATCTGTTGCAAATTCAAACCCCCAATTTAACGTTCACAGCCAAGACGAAAACAAGGCCTTAATGGGCAGCGACTGCTGCTCCTGGTCGCTGGCCAATTGGAGTACTGACCGAACCTTGGGATTGCATATTCTGGGCAATTGTGTCCCGGTACAGGTCATACATGGCTTTCGCCACCGTAAGGCGTCTTTCTCTCTGCATATCATCCAGATCATCCCATCCCTCCGCTTTCTCCCTTTCTGCAATGAATTCCGCTTCCGTGCGTATGGCCCTTTGGCCAATTGCGAGGTTGGACTTGTTCTTCACGGCGTTGGTGTTCGAGTTCAAAGCAGCGCCGGAGGAAACCGGATTGTGAGGTGCCTCATCTCCGTCAAGGTTGATTGGGTTGGCTGGTGACCCAGGTCCCGGATGCAAATTCGCAGTGGAGGAAGGGGGCATTTCATGTTGGCCTGCAGATGAGTGCTGGATTGCAGGTGAATTGAGACGTCGTCCAGGCTGTCGCTCTGGTGATTGCCTCGCTGCTGAGCCCAATGGGCAAGGAGTGGGAGACCGATCCTCATTGCTTCTTCCAGCATCGCTCTGGAGCACCCGCAGATAGCGTTCTTCTTGTTTCTCCCAGACCTCTTTGATTTTTGCGTCCGCTGCGCGTTTGCCATTGCAGAAGCGAGTGAAATCGGATCTCGGAATCCAAGAACAAGAGTTTTGCATGTTGTGGGTATCCTCTGACTGCAGGTCCTTCCATTTAATCTTCAGCCAAGAACATGGATCAGACTTGTATTGTTTATCCGGATACTTTCTTTCTTCGGAGGCAATCCCGTAGATCCCGACAACATTGTGTTTGGTATACCGCCAGACTTTGCTCCGTGGACTAGCTTTGATCTGGGAAATCCGCAACTCTCGTTCAGAAATGTCGTTCATTTTGTCATTGGTATATCCATTTCTGTATTTGAATTTGTATCTGGCTCCATGACGAGGCCCATACTGGAGGATGACGAAGGTTGATCCTCGCAGCTTTCCCCATCCATCCACAACCGCGTCGGTTTCCTCGTCATCTTCTGACGGATCAAGGCTGGCTAAAAGCTCTGGGTCTCTG